TTTAAACACAGAGAAACCTGGAGAAACATTTTATTACGAAAAGACGACCTATTTTAAAATATAAAATATCAAATCAAAGTTTTATATAAATAGTAATATATATTGCTCGCGTATATAACAAATGAAAAATGAATAATATAATTAAATATTTTCTCGGAGTCTATAGTTGACTTTGTGTTCGAACGATTTTTTTAATGAAAAAAAAAACAAATACTCTTATATACAAAACTAGAAAAAAAAAGATAGATAACGAAGAACGTTTACAATTGCACGTATCATTTTAATATAATATAATATAATAGAGAAAATAACAAACAAATGCAGGCAATGACGCGCGAGCGCGCGCGTTAATTCAAATATTGTTTTCCAATAAAAAGAAAAAAGAAAAAAAAAGAAAAAACTTTAATCCAGATAAGGTGGCGTTAATGCGACTACAATCGTGAGAAGGAATTCCGGCTGATTTACTTATCGATTACGAGAAGTTTATCGGAGAGAGGAAGGTATTTCGTGTAAAAAGGAAAATATAACTAAAGGAAAGCAGACTATCTCTTTAGGAATTCGAAATCGCGATAATCCTCGTTGAACTTCCATGGTGAATTTATTAAATTGAATCCCTCCGAGCGAATTAATTACTAGATTCCATGTCTTCCTTCTCAAAGCTTTCCGTCGTTCGAACGTAACAAGTTTTTTTTTCTTTTTTTGTTGTTTTTTTTGGGGGGGGAGGAGGGGAGAAATACCGAATCGACGAAATTTAAAAATAGCGAGTAACGCGAGAAATAAAAATATAAATGAAAATAAAAAGAAAAATATAAATAATATATTATATAATACGTACACACACACGTGTTCGAATAAAAATACTTTTATATTTTTTTTTCTATATATGCACTTTGTATGTTCCACACTCAACTTATCGATCAAATTAATAATTTTCTTGTAAACAAACTGTTAGATTATTATGAATATAATTACTATTATTTAACGTCGAAAAGCTACGTGAAGCTTTGCACGGCCCCGTGGTATATAATAAGTTTAATGTAGAACCGAAATAATATTAAGGCAGTTATTACTACAGTAATGAGCTCGTTGATTACGTTCAACTAATCGAGTTATTCTCTTCGTTTGCCTAACGGAATTCACTAGACGAATTTACTTTACGTTGCTTTCAACAAAATCGTAACATTTACGAGGAGGAGGAGGAGGAGGAAGAGGAGGAGGAAAAAAGAAGGGAAAATAACAGACATAACAATCCGTTCTTTTTTTTTTTTCTTTTTTCCTTTTTCCTTTTTTTTTGCGCATGTATAATAAATAGAATTTTTTTTAACGTTGTAGGTGGTAGTAGTAGTAGTAGTCGTCGTCATCGATGACCGGCACTCGATTTGTTTTCATTTCACTCCAAATGTTTGTAACGTTTGTTTCGTAATATTTATAAAAAAAAAAGAAAAAAAAATAACAATCAACAATAGCACCAACAGAAAGGTAAAAAGTGCTCGTAGTATATATTCTTCTATGAATATAATTTTTTTTTATTTTTCTCTCCTATTGTATATTTTTTTAATGAAGAAAAACATTACTTTCGCTCTCCCCCTATAACACCCCTTTCCAACCACCTCTCTCTCTCTCTATCTTTTTTTATCGTTATTATTATTACACATATCTTAACTTTAAATAACAATAAAAAATTTATAAATAAATAATACTTCGCAGAAAAATAAATATATTTGCAATAAAGAACAGAATGTTTTCTTTGAAAAAAAAAAAAAAAAATAAAAAACAAATACAAAAAGATATTAGATATAATAAATAAGGATTTATGTAATATAAATTCATGAGTGTTTAGTAAAAAAGAAATCTTAAGCAAAAAAGAAATATAAATATATGCTGCCGAAAAAAGATGAATAGTAAAGTCATCTTTATTTACGGGGAGGGAGGGGTGAAGAAAAACTCGAAGAATTTACCCTACTCTCGGCTGACAGTATTCTATCGATCTGATAAAAATTTCTTTTCTTTTTTTTCTTCTAAAAAAGAGACGAATCGAAAGCTCGATTTTATTCGACGTTCGCTAATTACGACGGTGAAAATGATCGTAGAATTGTAGGTAATAGAGATCGGAACTGAGAAAGAGAGAGAGAGAGAGAAAGAGAGGGATAAAGATAGAGAGAAGGAAAAAAAAGGGAAACGACCAGTTTTCGTTCTTCCGCTCGAAGGGTTCACCCTTCGATCTATTCGAATCTAAAAAGTCTATCTTTTAAAATGGACCTTACCCTACACCTTCACTTCTAACTCGTCTAGTAATTTCTACGATCTGCCATAGTAATCTATATCTTTCTTTCCGATCATTCTCTTTTCCCCCCACACCATCGAGTTACATCCCCGGTATTAATTTCACCGATCATTTCGTCACCCATTTTTTTTCTTCTTCTTTTTTTTTTTTTTATCTCTTTTAACGATCCATCGACTTTATAATTCGCATCATTTCTATCCTAGACCATAATTGCGTGACATTAACTATAATATCACGTTGGAACGTGTCGACAATGTAAACTCGCGAAACGATGAATGAATTTTAATTCGTTGGGAGGGGGGGAATGGGGTGTCAGACGAGGAAATGGGGGGAAAAGAGAATCGACTCTGATGTAAGCATAATTATTAATCATTACTTTTAACGTATTTCTTTTGTGTTTTCTTTTTCTTTTTTCCTATCGTTTTATAATCATTTTTATTTTCATCGCGTAGTATCATTGTTGTTTACTTCGATTAGAATTGTTTATTCGAATTCAATGCCTACCAAGCTATAAAATACAGCTTCATATTCGCTGATATAAATTGAATGGCGAAAATGAAAGAGGAGGAAGAGAAAGAAGAGGATGGGGGGTGTCTATAAGGAAAGAGTTTGGAAGAAGAGTAGGAAGAGAACAAAAGAGCAGGAAGCTTGCTTTCATTGTTCGTTGAATACTGTACGGTGCCTTCATTAAAACGATATGAGAAACTTATATTACTCTCGAGAAAGTGATCTTAGGAGGAAAGAAAACTTTGCCTCTCATTTACGTTGAAATCTCGCGAAGAGAAAGCTTTTTCGCGAAAAAAAATCTATGTAAAGGAAGAGAATGACTTGTTAACTAGCAAATCAAAAATACATTCGAAATAAATTTCAAAAGTTCAAAAATATATATATATATATATATATATATATATATATTGTACGTAACCCTTGTTGTGTATTTTACCGGATGAATCGACCAAATGAATGCAACATTTTAATTAGACCAGTAATTTGCGTTGTAATGCTTGCGCGAAAGTGTTATTTGTTTTGATTAAAATTAAAATTGCTAGCTCGGAAGCACGGTATATATAGCGTTTCGCTTCATTTGTTAACGTTTCATTATGACACGTGGTGTGTGTCCAGTCTGTCATTGCAGATGATACGCGGCTAGTTTCCCCGTGAAACGTTTTGTTACAAATAAAAATAAAATAAGAAGGGAAAAAAAGAGAAAGAGAGAGAGAGATACATAATTAAGAACAAATTTCTTATATAAATAATATTCACATTAATTAATCACACGTACAACACTTAACCGTTGTATAATTTTTACTCATATTACATTATTTATCAATTTTTTACTAAAAAATATTGCGTATTTCTCATTTTAGTTTTTTTCCCGACCATTATCGAACGTAACAGTATCTATATCGTGATAAAGGAAAAAAAAAATCTCTCCCGATAGATATTCTCGCGTATATTCTCTTAACCACACACGTCTATGTTTAGTACACCCTTATTACGTAGCCTTAATCAGAATATTACAGCTTACGCTCCAATTGTTGTTGGAAAATCGATTTTCTAAATATAATATAATCTTAAACAATCGGTCGACTCAAATCATTTATTTTATGCAATATCTCTCGCCATCTTTTATAGAATTATTTTCTCTGCTCTATTGTATTTTTTGAAAAGACTTATGTTAGAGAGTGAAAGAGAGATAGGGATTGTTAGAGTGGCTGTGTGCTGCTGGTGGTGACTTTTCTCTCTCGCAAATATTCTTTCTTTTTTTCTTTTTTTTCCTTCCTCCCCCTCCCTCTCCCTCCTTTCTCTATCTATCTCTCTATTTCTTTCAGGACACCAGACGGAAAATCCTTCAGCCGGAATTCTTCGATCGACTCCCCCCCCCCACTTTCCACTTTCCTTCTTTTTCGTGAACGACGAACGACCGAGGTACCACGACCACGACTGTTCCCCCTCCCCCCACCCCAAACTCCCGTCAGCCCCACCCACCTACCAAGTTGAATCCTAGTTTATATCTTGCGATATAAAGTGGCCAACCCAAGGATGAGTGGACTTCTGACTCGGCGAATATCCATTGTCCGTGCCGTTAGAATTTCGCCATTGTTCAGGCTGACGCGAACAGAAGGATTCTCTCCAGGTAAGGGAAAATAGCACGTATATTTGGAACTGTCTAGTGGCGCTAGGTCCACGTGGATCACGAGCCATCTCCACGTGCACAAGCACAAGCACAAGCGTACAACCGAGAGGGAACACATAGCGTAGATTCTACTCGAGGATTGAGGATTACATTGTTGGCTTCTCACCCTGCGTGAAAATGTGCCTGATACATACCCTACTACTCTTCTATCCAGCCCATGTGCTTGGGGATGTGACTGTGAAAGAGAAACTGAGAGAAAGAGAGACTGCTGGACTGTATTACGTGACCAGCAAACCAATCCGACTATCTCTCTTCTTATTCTTATTCTTTTTCTTTTTTGTCCTTTTTATTTTCAACTCCTTTTCTTTACCCTTTTATTAGATTTTTCTTTCTTACACACAGTCGTGTCTATATATATATATATATATATATATATTAAATTTATCTTCCATTCTCTTCTTACCTTTTAACATTCAAATCTTTTTATTGTTAAACGTTTTTACTTTTGCACGTAGTTCTTAATCAGATTAAAATTCGATTTATTATCTTGTTGGACGAGTTAGTTAAATAACAACTTACCACCTAGTAGAAAAAGACCACAGGCTACCAAGGTTCTATGATCCGAGTAACAATGGCCGATAAGTGCGAAAATGGTACCAGCGAGAATCAAGACAACGGCTATCACTTGAAACGGTGCCGAGATTCTGAAACATAATATATATCATGGTAATGTAAAAAAAATGGGTAGAAAATGTTTTCTTAAATCTAATGTCTTAAGGGGTTACATGGGTTTGGGACTTTCAAAAAAATTATTTTTTTTTTTTGTTTTTTTTTTTTAAATTCTACAACTCATCTAGAATATTGTATTCAATTTTGAAGTCGATAGGAGTAGTAGTTTTAAAGATAGAGCCTTGGGAAGTTCTACTCTTTAATGGCTCTTATACCAGCACTCAAATCTTTAAATGCGTTTTTCTCAAAACGCTTTTTCTAAAGTCGGTTGTCAAGATTTCTCGAAAACTATTTAACCGATTTTGATGAAATTTACTACACGTCTTCGTGATACTATTGACAAGGACTTG